GTAAGGAATAACTCAACCTAGGGATATCCTAGGGAGGTCAGGAAGTCATGTAAATAGTCAGAGAAATGTGAGGAATAATACCATAACTATATAGAGATAAAACACATAGGAAAGCGTACTGTAGAGGTGAATAATCATATAACTAACACACAGCGTAAAACCGCGCATTACTGCTGAGGTGAAATTTGGTTAAATTTCATAATTTCCATAGATTTCCATACATTCCCCCAAACCTAAATTACCTGCTATGATAGTCTATCGGAGTGTCAAACTACCTTAGACTACCCATCACCACAATCTATAGCTATAGACAACTTTGCTTTGTGTGCACATGAAGTGATATCTGAGCGCACGCACACGTCAGCTTGCATATGACGACTGAGATTTTTGCTATGTCCCATGTCCCATGTCCCCAGCTAATTGGTCACCTCCAGCCCTGTTGACCAGCACAATGAGCATCATGCCAGATGAACTGCACTTTCCATGTTCTTGCAGTCAATGTGCTCACCATCGAGATGGTTTTATATACCAGACTTGGCAGGTAATTGCCAAGCACATGAAATGGTACAATCCAGGACCAAAAGCTCGGGGATATGCTCTCAAGCCAGCTACTTTGACTCGTTGACCTCTCATTCCGCAGACAAATGCCATACCAGGTCCTTCTGTGCAGCTGTCACAGTCAGACTCTCAGGCTGTATCTATACTGAGAACTCAATGCAGAGACTTGCATGAGCAAGCCAGAAACATACTTCCACTAGCTCAAGTCGACTCACAGCCTCAAGACAATGTGAACTTCGACTTTGATAATGACTATCACCCTGAGTCAGATCCCATACCAGATATTAATCAAGATTTACCCCTCCTTCAACATCAACAACTTCAGCTGCATCTGCCTGATCAGATTTTTCAGCTAGCTGCACCGCCTGATGTTCATGAGCCTGGAGTTGATCAGGATGAAGCCGATGCACCATCCCTCGTACCCATTGCATTCAAAGAAAATGGTGAAATTTGATATGCATACCTTACAGCTGTCATGGCCAACATTTACGGTCACCTCTCATGGAATCAGGCAACAAATCAACTGAATCACAGTCTCAACATGCTCCTGATTGCAAATGTGTTGCCTACATTTCCGCGACCTGTTTGAGCCTTGGCCAGTGCAAAACGGCACCTTGGAATCCACCCCGACCAATGGATTACTCAATATGCTATATGCCCTGAATACTGGAAACATCACTCACCTTCTCAACTCAAGCAGCTTCTTTCCACACAATGCTCCATTCCAGACTGCAATGGAGTCATCTACATGGAACATAGAGATGCAAAGGGTAGGATGGTCCGCACAGCTACAAAAATTAATCTGCAGGTGTCTGTCATTGGCAGCTTATGGCACATGTTCATGTGACCAGGATTTGCACGGTCTATTCATGACAGTTGCCAGGATAGACCTGGACAGAACACTGACGAGAATTTTGTCATGTCGGACATTCATCATGGGACACAGTGGCATGAACTCAAGACAAACATACTACGTGAGGTTGGTGAGATTGGAGCTGTGTGAGACCAAGCAATAGAGGGAAGGATGGTGGGGAAACTTACGGAGCATCGGTATGGCTTACATCTGACTATGAACACAGACTGGTAGGGTTCAATTGTGCGCTTATAGTTGGCTAATACATGAATTGTCAGGATGAGGATACTCGAGAACCGACCACATTCAACTGGAGTGATATACTTTGCGATAAATGATCTGCTTTGGGACCAGCACTTCCTTCAGATAAATATCATTTGCGCCACTGTTTTACCAGGACTGAAAGAGCCTAATGTCCAGCAGATCAATCATTGCCTCAAACCATCGACAAAGGAGATAATACTCCTTCAAAATGGTAACTTAAACAGACTTAGCTCCATTTTTAATATGATATCAGCCATAACTCCAGGTGTCAAAATGGACATCATCGATGAGGACGAACCTGCTGACATCTATGCGGACTAACTAAATCCTCGATTGTGACATGCCAGCTGCTCACAAGTTGTCAGGTACAGCAGGCCACTCGCACAACATGCACCCATGTCTCTATTATGATATCGACATCACAAAAATCAACACACAAGAAGGCTATAATGGGTTTAAAAGTACATAGTGTGCATGTGTTCGAACTTCACAAAAACAAGAATGTATATTGATATTCAAGCTCTGCGTAAAACAGTCATGTTACTAATCAATCCTATCATGGAAAGTATCCAGTATCGCGGAAGAGATAATCGATAAGCTACTATTCTCCACCACCCCTCCTGATGCACATTTCAGAGCGTAAAAAGGTACTAGAGGCCCTACGAGAAACAAACAAGACTCTTCAACTTGCTCAGTACCTTGAGCTAGTAACCATGTTAATGGATGACTGACTCATCTGACTCTGAGTCATCCAACAAGTCTAGCTCAGATGAGTTGGACTCGGACTCGGACTCGGACTCTGGCTCTATTGATTCTGATCTATCATCAAATATCAGCATGGATTCCATAAGCTCTTTTGATACCTGGATGTCCCTTGACTCTGTCTGGAATGACATGCCAGTATTCTCCAATTCAGATTCTACAGAAGCCTCTGGACCCATGTTCAGTAGCCAAGTCTTTCTCGAATTTAGTAATACCATCCAAGCACTTCAAAATGAAGTCGTAAAGCATGTACGCTCATTTCACGTCCTACAGCCACCCACACACCGCAGCTCCATCTACTTGAAGAGTGGACATTGGAAAATCCTCGGAGGTTCCGTCGCAAGCTCCAAGTCGATCCTGATGTGTTCATAGAACTCGTCAATAAAATCATCCATCATCCAATTTTTTACAACAATTCTAACAATCCACAACTTACCTGTTCCCATTCAGCTGGCAATATTTTTGAACACCGCTGGCCACTATGGAAATGCAGCGACTGCAGAAGACATGGCTGACTGGGCAGGGGTTTCAGTTGGAACAGTATACAACTGCTATCGGCTTGTTATGGTTGTAATTTTGCAGCACCATGACGATGTCATCCACTTTGACTCACTGGAGGCTAAAGACCAGATTGAGATAGATTGAGTGAAGGACTGGGTTGAGGAACATACATGTCGATGTGTACCAGAAGCTGGGATGGCATGGAGAAGGTTTTTTTGAGCGAAAATCAAATTACTCTCTGTCCATGCAGGTAAGTCAACTAGAATAAATTAAAATTCATCCTGACTGTTATGTTAGATTGTGATCATGCCCCACAACCTCCATATTGTCGACTACATGATCAGGGGTCCCAGGAAGTCTGCACGACGCTAATGTGTTCTCAAAGACACGAATTACACGACACCCTGAGAACTTTCTGGGAGCAAATTGATGGATCTGGGCAGATTCAGCATATGCATCGTGAACGTGGTGTGTTGTTCCTTTCAAGCGTCCAGTGGCCTGGTGGTCTGAGGCATGATCAAAAAAAATATTCAATACACACCTATCGAAAAGTAAGCCATTGAGTATTTTGAGATGGGTATATGCACTCATACCACAATTGAAGGTCCGAGTTCAATCCGAATACTGCTATGGGTCTCTTAAAGGATGGTTCCAGTCCCTGCGCGACCTAAGAATCCAGATACAGTCACAGAAAGACCTCAGCTATGCGAATATGTGGACTCGCTGTTGCCTCATTCTTCACAATTTCATTATCAAGATTGAGGAGAATATGGGAAAGAAAAGCTCTAATTATCACTTTCGGAAACAATCACAGGTGCGAGGGGCCAGAGATGCAGATGATGAGGACGAGGATGGCAATGGTGATGAAGGATTTATCGGAACAGATGGACGAATTTTCCGGAACACATTGATGGGTCATTTGCTTCATAGCCGCAGAGTTTAGGTGCAGTATACATTAAGAACAAGTCTGAAAGATGACATGTAGTAGTAGTACAGCACCGCAATGAGTATCGAGAGCATGATTAGCAAGAACAACAAGCACTGAAGACAAATATAAGCACGATGAAGATGAGGAATCGTGAGTGGGTCTATACTGAAAAATATAAGATAAGTCGCCTGCAGTAGTCCTCGAACGCGAGTAGAAGTCGGCCCAAGAGGATCTTTACTGAGTCTTTTCCTCGAGTAAATGCGAGGGGATGCGCTGAACGAGTCAGCAAGGGAATCTGCGCAAAGCGCGGGTGCGAGACGCCTTGTAAACGCGAAACGCGCGTTAACGCGACGAAAGGCGAAAGCGCGACGTAGGCGGAACCGTGAGGCGGAACAAGCGCGCTATAGGCGTTAGTGAAGAGGCGGAAGTAGCGCGAAGGTCTCTCCAGATTTTCTCAAGAGAGCTTGTTGCAAAAGAATAGAGAGTCGCGCAGTGGTTGTGTTGCAAATGAATAGAAATTGATTCACAGTATACACTGATGCAGGATGATGGGATGTAGTGAGTAAGTAAGTAAGTCCGTGAAAAATCTATCAGAGTCCCCATGTCTAAGGTAAATGTTCCCAGGCGCTGAGCCGAAGCGGAAGCGAAGCGAAAAGAGTTGTTGTGTTGTAGAATAAGGAAATATGTGTAAACAGACGAGGTATATAGCTAAAGTCAGTTGAAAAGATAAAGGGAGACGCACCAGCGGATCATAGAGGGACAGGACAGGACGTGCGGAGGACAGGCGACTTGGAAAAGCGAAACGCGAAGGTAAAGCGCGAAAGCGCGCGCAAAGGCGCCGTAGTAACGCGAAAGGCGCTATAGAGGCGCGCTATAGGGCGCCAGATGCGCGGATGCGCGGATTAGGCGGAAGCGTCGCGCGTTTAAGTCGCCTTGTCGTATATAGCGCGCGTTAGTGGAGACGAAGTGGAAATACGGCCTTTGTGAGGGCTACTCGCAATGGAGTCTCTACAACGAACTCGAATGTAAACAGACGGCAACAGACACACAAAAGCAAGCATAATATCAATTAGCCCCATCGCCTAAACCCAAGCCACGCTCCATTGCAAGATGACAATATTTAGCTTCTTCAAGTCAGATTTCCAACTCAAGTTGCCTTGTCTTGTCTTCGGATATGGCACATTCATGATCGTGATTAGCCATGACCTGACGTGAGTCATGTTCATGCTCAGCATGAGCCTCGTGAGCCTTCAACTCCTTGGAAAACCTAGCATATTCGAACTTCATCCGCTTGCTCGAGGCCCTGACATCCGATTTATTCTGCACATGGAGTAGGAGGGAGTCAGAGGCATCAGCCAACTTCTTTGTAACATCTGCCCCAATATCGTGCGGCCACTTACGAGACTCTGATGTTGAACGAGAACCAGATGGTGATGGGCCCACACTGCGGTGAGTAGAGGTGGCTGGGCTTCGACCATGCAGAGCACTACCACTCGCTTTACGAGAGTGCACTGTCAAGGATTTCATCACACCCTCGATGCCTCTCACTACCAGATGACTCTGGCTGAAGGTCCATGTGACCAAAGCCATTATCATCATCGACATCTTGTGGTGCCCTCCCACTGGATTGTTGGGATCTTGGTAGGTGGTTGTGCTTTGGAGGGTTGGGAGGAAGTAGGAGCCAATCCACGACTGCCCTCACCTCAAGCTCTACTGGAGCTACTAGCTCCATGTCCACGGATGGTGCCTTGTGTGGCCATAGAGGTCAGAGATGCCTGTGATGGACAGCGACTGATGACATTAGTGATCACGGCCAGCACGCAGTGCCATCGGAGTTTTAATTATTTGCATTCATCGAATTATTCGCGATGTTGTTCTGCGGCATGTAGCACCAAACTTTGAAACCCATTTATGACTATAGTAGTATTTCCTTCTCATATGAGATCCACTGGTATTGAATGTCGTCATAGGCTGGACAGCAACAGACGACGATCATCTCCTTCATCAATCATTCTATTCACGAAACACCAATCCTATTCAGCAGAAGGCTATTCTTGATGATCACAGAGTGCGCTGGAGTAAACTGAACCTGATCGCTGGCTGGTTTCCCTCAAAGAAGACTGCACTTGACTTTATGCACTGCATATTTCTTGGTAACATGATGTTAACTTGTTGTCCATCTATGCTTACAGAGATTTACAAGGTGTCATTGTGCATCTATTTATGCGCATCTTATTTGCAGGTTATATGTTCTCCAGTGCTGGGGGTAGAAACTCACCGAAGCAGTGCTTCGAGAATCTTATCAACAGCATAACATGGCCCAGTCACATTACACATCTTCCCAAAAATGTATGTCATTTATGTTCTTCAAATAGTGTTAACATTACAACCTTTCGGTCAGCTTGGCGAGAACCAATCACTCAAGAAAGCAGACAAGTGGAGAAGACTGCTGACAATCACACCTGTACTGCTATGGTGGTCTTGGAAGGATGAGAATGATGATATTCCAGATGCGGAGCCCCCTCAGTCGCCCAATATGCAAGCTCCTGAATTTTCACGCAACTGCCAGCGCATATATGATGCTGTCTTACTTCTATGTGCAGCTGTCCATCTCTTCACAACTCAATCAATCTCAATGTCCCAGGCACGCATTGGACAATCATTTTTGTCCCAGTATTGCCTCCAGTTGCCTCGAGCTCAACTGCATATTGCAGACATGATCAAGGCTTATGGACCTGTGTACTCATGCTGGTTATTTGCTTTTGAGCACTTCAATGGGATGCTGGAACGTGTCAATAACAATGGACATGGTCGGTTAACATTGATGTGTCATTGGGTTCAGACCCACTTGATATATGAGTATACTCTCTTGCTTCCCCATGATGGTCATGTGATAGAACGAGATACCGGGGTGCGGATGGCTTAAGTGGATATGCCTTCAAACCTGGGACTGCACACCAGCGGTCACCGGCCTTAAGCCAGAAGGTCGTGGGTTCGACTCCCGCACAAACCACCAGGGAGTTTTAGTGGGTATTGTGTGTCAGCAGAGCCCCACATAACTGCCTAATCCGGCAATGGTATGCGTAAATGCATTTCTTCCTGGAGAGTTAGTGCTCTTACAACGTGGCTTATAACACCACGCTATGTGCCGTCAGCTTGGGGCCAGATGGTATTGGTTGCCTTGCAGACTTTGTACCTCTCAAAAAAAAAAAACCGAAATACCCTCCACGAGATCCTCAAGAGTCAAGCCCAGCAGCGAGGGAGTATGATGACTGATATCGCTGTGTATCAGAGCAAAGCTGCTCAAGGTACGTTCTCATTCTATGCTTTGACTCTATTGAACAACTCATCAGACAACATCTGACTCCCACTTCACCAGGCGAAGTTCATCAATCTTTGAACTTTTGGGCCTGAAGGTGGCATTTATCATTTATCCACTGCTTATATCATACTGCCAAGCTCTCTGGCCCTGATATTAACATTGTCGACTGACTTCTCACTTGACAATGGCACAGTCTTCTTCGCTTCCAAGGTTGCCTGTGCCCTCACATACATCCGACAGGATGGTATTCAATATGGTTGCATGACCAACAGACGAACCCAAACAGATGCATATGCTTTCATTTCCTGTGGTGGGTCTCGTCTTCCTGTTGAGATAACTACACTCCTCGTTGTTGGCCTTCGAGACAAAGTACCTCATATTTGTGTGCTTGTCCGATGTCTTAAGTCCAATGAAAATATTCTACTGATGCCTTGGGCGCTCTAGTGAGTCAGGGCCTTGCCTTCGTCTCTCACCATCTTCTAAACTTTAACATTAAAAATAGTGAAAATACTCTTGGCATCCATACCTCATATTCAAACGAGTACCATCCATATGAAATAATCCTGGTCTCCCAAATTGCAAGCCCTGCTTGCACTTATTCCAGTATACTCTAATGTCATCAAGAAAAGTCTTTGGATTGCAGTATCGTTTGACCATGTACAAGATTTGGTTATGGTATGGATGCACGAACAAGACAGCTAACATTCTTTGTCCTTTAGTCAAGAATGGAGCCCAAGGATTTCTTCTTCGATGACAACGACTGAGCTTTATGTTATGAGACTGGACATACAAAGTGCGTACCTTCAGATCAATCTTCAAAGTTGCTATCAGCATTGTCATCAATCATCTGATGTGCATTTGATGTACTTGCAACAGGCTGTGCTGGCACCATGTTCTTCAGCTCGGTTGGCTCCTCATCAACATTGATTGCTCTTGCTTTCCCCTTGTCCTTTTTTGATTGTGCTCTTTTCTTCCCCTTCTCTAGCTTCCTGTTCCCATCAGCTACTAATTTTGCTCTCTTACATGCAGCAACTTCTTTCTTTTGGTTCTTGACATGCTTCTGGGCAGATATGCTCTCTTCAGGATCTTTTGGATCACCCCATGCTTTCCCGTTATCGACAATGAATGCCAGTACATCATACTTTTGGTTCTCTGGCTGTGCAAGCCATTCCTGCGATACCATCCACCTCCTCGCACGATGTTCAACTTTCTGAATTCATGGAAGAGCGACATTGAGTGGCTCACCTCGTGTGCAAATAGTGTAACACTTTGGTGGATGAGGATCCTGTTGAGCATCAACAGCAGTGATAAACTGGTTCCTCTGTTGTACAAGGTAGGTCAGCCCTTGGAATGTCATTGTCAAATCATTGCTTACTTGCTTACTTGCCCATACCCAAGGACGAGAGACATATCTTCTAAGACGTCCTTCTTCATTTGTCTCATCCTCATCTTCTGACATGAGCTGTGAGATAAGGGCAGTCTTGAAGGCATCAGTCTTGAATTCTGACTTGGTGGGTAGTGCACCAAATTTCTGCTCGCAAACCTCACATTTCTGTGAACCCTCATACCTCAGCCACTGTCATAGGTAATGTTGTTGCTTAGTACTTACACCTTGCTGTCAACTCTGACACACACCCTTTGATAGTTTTGCATCCCGCAATGCTCCTTAGTTTTCGAAAGCCTCTGTCAAGGTGGTTACACGAGAGGGCGTCAACATCTTGGCTGCCCATAATGCTTTCTGCAGATCTTGGTACTTGGTGTGCACACGATCAAGTAAGTCTTTGTCACTGATTGCATGCAATGCCCTTGCAGATCCAGGGCTGAATTCGGCACCCTTTGCACAAATGTATCTGAAGACCGTCTGGAGACCTCGATAGTTATCGTCGTGTGTGTTACTTTCCCCCCAGCGGAATCGGAGGAGCTTTTCATTGGTTGCACCATCTACAGGCCATTGCTCACCGTCTTTGGGCCACCATGGCAGATCTTTGGTCGTCAATTTCACAGTACTGAGCATGTGTGAAAATGTGTGACGTATGACGGCCTGTGTTTATCAGCATGAGCTTTGTTTTCAAAAAGTTGTATAGCCCAGGGTTGCCTTTCACTTCAAGACTTGCCTCCATCCTTGCTTCATCCTTGTCTTTTTCTTCTTCATCATCTTCGTCACTAGATTCCTTATCATCATGCCCTCTTTTGACTGTCTGTAATGCATCTGCTAACTTCATTTCAAAATCTTGTCGCATTTCTGTGAGGTGCTTCTTACACGAGTCATGTATGGATTGAATCGTGATGTTCTGGTGAGCAACAACCTCCATGAGATCACGCTGGCTGGGGCACTGAGAAAGTTGTTTCTCTAGTTCAGTCACTTGCTGTTTCATCACCGCTTCTAATGCTGAGACTACGGCGGTCTTTGATAGCTTTGTGCTCTCTCCAGGCTTTTCCGCAGCTGGCAGCAAGCCTTGGGCCTGACCATACAATGGAATCACTCCCATATTTCTGTCATGAGGGGCTGCCGAATATTTGCCTGGTTCCAGGCAACTAGGAGGGAACTGGAAATCGCTGTAGCTTGAATCCATGGTGTGTAGAGAAGACAAACAAGCACAGTTTCTGTGCCTTTTTCATGTTGTATTGGTTATATTATGTTGCCTGCCATGTCTGGGCCATTCAATGTATCACCTTCTTGATCCTGAGAATGAAAGAGATGGTCAATGTTGAGCATTTGTCATTCTTGTTGTCGAGCAACAGCTTTCAAAGAAGATCCCAATATGTGCCTTGAACAGGTATTTTGAAGGAAGTGTTCATGAATTGCTCCGCATATTTTAATGGTAATCCAGGTAAAGCCTGTATTTCCCTATACAATTTCTAGATGTGTATTTTTACAAGTAATCTTAGTATATTATCAAGAAATCTCTCAATTTCTTCACATTTCCCTTGAGCAGTAATCTGTGTCGTTGTGCTGTGGAAGGGTGCATGTCCCTAGTCTTGCCACATCATGTTGACAGTAAAATCTAGCAAAAATGTCGGACTCCCCCCAAGCTGCAAATCCTTCCTTGAGCTTGTCAATCTCCTCAGTAGATATTTCGAGCTTCACCAAGGTCTTCATCAGTCCAATTAACTTGCACATGTGTAAAGATGGGTGCATGTGTGAAGCTTGTAATCCTCGGTCCCACTATCAAGATTTTTGAAGTGCCCAGTCCAAAGATCAACAAGAGTTGGGATGATATTTTGAAGGAAGAGATGCATCCACTCCTCGGGTGCACCATCTGCAAATCAATGGAGTTGACACGACAGAGGGAGGGTTCTCTTTTGATTTCATGTTTTTTTTGATAGTATAGATGCCAGTGAAATCTTCATGAGTGTGTAAAGGGAGGTTTTGAGGATCCATAGAAGGGTGTGTTTGTCTTTCATTATGTGGTGTAGTGAGGGGAGCATAATAGAATGTTCCATGGGCAGCAATATTGCAAACACCCTTTGATTTCACACGAACTACCCAGAGATCCTGCAAACTCATTGTTGAGGGGACAAAGGAATGATGCAATGTCTTTTGGCTGATGTGGTCCTGGTATGATGCCTATGCAGATCAGATTCTCAAGGTGTGTGCAAAGATCCACAGTGCACTGGCTGCATCTCTGTCCTGCTCCTCTTCAGTTTCCTAAGACTGGTGACCAGCCCGTCTAATGAGGCTATCGACGGCTTGCCTCATGAGATGGGCAGCATGCTCCAACTCTTCAAACTGCACTAGCTGTACCTCCTTCATGTCCTGCTCCTCTTTAGTTCCCTATGCTCTCCCCCAGCATGCTGTGCATCATCCAGCCCTAACAGTTCCTCTTCAACAACCTATATAACTTGTCCAAAATTCATGGAACACTGTTCCTTTCGTCACCATCTGAAGCATCATTTTCCAGCACTCTGGATTGACCTTTCTGATTTTGGGGACCCAAGCTCCTGGAAGTGCTTGATAGCTTCATAGAATTTTTAAGCATTATGACCATCAAGGAGGAAGTAGACCATTTGAGTTCCCACACCAGTCCTAGAATATCATGGATGCAAAATTTAATGAGATAGTGAAAAGTGGGAACAAAGAACTTCAGAAACGAAAATTCAAGATAGAGTGTAAGAAGTTCATATTGTCCAAAAGCTCTATGAGTGAGCTTAGTGTTAGGAACAGTTTATACATTAGAAGTACCTATACAAGCAAGCTAAAGAAATATTATAGTGAGATGAGACCATTGATAACATTTCTAGCAATGGAGTCAAGCTAAATCAATCTGGAATGCTGACAGCTTGACCATTGGCATAAAATGTAAAAGCCATATATACAAAGCTGGTTTGGCAGCCCAAACAGATTATGTTTAAGGATGGTTACAAAAGAGTGTTGGACTCACTGGAAGTCCTAAAGGAAGCCTATATGTAGCAAAAATATATTTAAGATCTAGTGGATCTTAGACTAGTTATTGATAAGAACAAGTGAAGTTCATTATTTGATTTACAAGATGTAGTGGAAAGATTCTGTTGTAAGTAGATAAAGTCTGGAAACTTACTATATACTATGATGCACATCAGGGATGATATGCAGTGCTTATTAGAAAGATGCTATTATATAGTGTCCTTGTTCTCCTAATTTAGCTTAAATTTGTTGTCTTGCAGCTCCCCAATATTAATGTCATTAGGGTTGGTGCAATCACCAAGTTGATGATATGTAAACAATTGTCTCTACACTCATGCAGATGGGAAGGATGCTTTTGACAGTATTGCCAGTCACATTGGTAATCTCAGTGATGTGCAGAAGGTTGAATTAGATAGTGTTAGAATGAATATGACAGGCACTATATATGATTTACTTCAGAAATACCAGCTTTTTTGATGAGGGTCAGGATGAGTGGAAGTGGGAGCCCCATGGCCCTACAAGGTGTATAAGATAACATTAGATTATTAAAGAAAGATAGCACACCTTTTCAGCAAATCTAATAAAGTGATTAAAGTGTATTGTTGTAAATAGCTTATCTGAATTAGAGAAAGATTCCCTGTGATCCATGTAATTTGGCATTTCAACCTTGAGGTAGTTCGCAGTGGAGTTCCTCAAGCCTCTTCTTAATGGTTAGATTCTGTGAAATTAACAGGCCCAGAAGCTCTTTGTTCTTATTAATGAACTTCATGTCTTGACTGTTTTAAGTTAAGTAAGCAAATGTATAAGGATAGAGACATATGACTTAGTAAGCCATTTAAAAGATTCATGGGCTAAATATATATATTGTGTGTCCATTTTGACACCACCCAGACACTTCTGAAGATGATAATAGTCCTCCACTGCATCCTAAGCATCACAATCACTTACATGAAAAGGTCAATATTATTTCTGATTTACTGGCTCATAATAGTGTTTTCTCAGAGGAAGAAGGCAGTGATAAGCTAGGATGGTAGAAATGAGGATAGTAATGAGTCTTTGCTATCAGTGTTCCAATCTGGAGATAAACAGGATAAGCAGAACAAGAAAGAGAAGAATACTATCTTAGAAAATCAAGAGATAAATCAGATTGTCATATATTCTATTAACTAACATCTTATATAGGTAGAAGTGGCTGATGATGATAAATCACCCAGTAGCAAATCACCTTAGAAAACACTTGTACAAGTGTTTCATTATGACTATTTGGTCATTGATCAGCATAATCTTTCCCTATAAATAAGTCCCAGTCAATGATATCTATGCTCTTTGAAACATTGGGCATGTCATTGAGGTACCTCAGAGTTCTGCTGCCCAGCCAGCATCATGGTCCAGTGTTGCCTGTTCAAGAAACAAGCAGTAATGGCAGTCAAAAGCAGATTCCACTGTGGTCATATCACAAGAGGGAGTCATGGAATGGCAACTGATGTAATACTAATAAATATGCAGGCTTTTGTTGATGAAGAAAGCATGATTGAGACTGATGACAGATTATGCAACAAAACAATGAGTGTGGTAGGTATCATGTGAGAGCCTGATATGCAAAGAAATGGAAAGCCATGGAAATGAACCAGTAGACTTGCCTTGATATATGCATGTGTAGAAGGTGGATGTCTCTGTTTCATTCTTGCTGCTCACCATTGACAGTCAGTAGACAAGTTCAGTGGGGGCAGCAGTGGTAAATGGGTTCTCTTCCTCTGTCTGAGACTATCAAAGCTCCTAGACATGGACTATGGCCAAGGTGCCAGTGTAATTGGACATAATGGGAGGGATTCTGCGTTCAAGTATCTTAAATTGAAGTTGCAGGTCACGCCCTACCAGTGCATCACAATATGCATGTGTCACAGCAAACAGATGCAGGGTACACAAGATCTCACACAGATCTGTCTTGTAGTGTGCCAGATCTTATACAAATCTGCCCTAGGGCCTAAACTGTTCGCATGAGTGATGCAGCAAATCAATGCAGATTACCAGCGTGACCAAGTACATCACATGATGCCCAGTGAAACATTTGACAGCCTCAGACAGAGGAAGAGCTATGTCTTATTCTCCATATTCATCAACTGCATCAATTCACCAAACCAGTGGCAGAGCCAAGTCATAGGTGACATCAACAATGATAGAGTAACATTGATGTATATATAGTGATTAGAAAAGTTGAGATGAAGTCAATATGTGATGGTTCAGTGTGGCTTACTTAATATATATGTGAGATATATGTAGATGTTGCTGTTCATCTAGCTGCCACTTTGATAGTCATTAATCATCATGGACATTTCACTTTGACACTCATTATATCATAGGTCTTCCTCCCCATGAACTTACATCTGAAAAGGCAAGCAAACAGATGCAATCACATTTACAATCCATCACACAGATAGTTCTCATTTGTAGTGAATTCATGTTGATGGATGGAATGATAAAATACACATTTATGGAAATATAAAAATTGGGGGCATAGAGTCTGGAGAGGGAAATGAGATCTAAATGCTTACCTCATAATGATCTTCTTGGTAGTTCCTTCTTACTTTCCCCACCTCTTCCTCAAGCATAGCAGCTGTTCTACTGAAATATTGTACTCAACCGTTCATCTTCATTCTGTATTTTTCCAGTGTCCAAGAGCTATTGAGAGGCAGCCATGGCATTGTGGAGGTCATCCACCTAGCCCTCAAGCTGGGCCATTGCCTTCAAAGCCACTCTATCTTTATCAGTTTTAATAGAAAGCTAGCTCTCTAATTGCATCCCAAATTCCTGGAGATTTGTGAGCAGAGAGAGATCTGCACCTCATTGTTCCTCCTTATATCCAGCAATTAGCAAATATCCTGCCAGCTGATTTCAAAAACATGTCATGTGATTATTGACCTGAAAGTTCAAGCTTTGTCATTTTGTTTCTCAGTTAGAAACTTAGTACCATTGGGCACTTGCTCATTCCAGAGACTGATACATGCACTTTGCATGGCTCTGTATTTTGTTGGACACTTTCAGTTGCCTAGGTGCTGATCCGTGAATATCAGCTGTTAACTTGCACCTCTAGGTCCCAGAGCACCAAAGGGTGCCCTAGGAAAACTCAAAATTTATTTTGTTTTTATGTTTTTCAGCTGTATTGATTGAGTCAATGAAGTGCTAGGTGCA